GAAGATTTTTTTTGTTAGTTGGCTTTCCCAGTTGCTAAAAGTGTAAAGGTGTTTTCAGTGCATGTTTCTGCAGTGGTGACTCTGCCATCCTGAAAATGCAGGTGATGCCTGTGAGTCTGAAGGAGAATTCTGGTAGTGATGTGTTTGAGCAACCTTCCAAAGAATTTCTACCTCAAGTGCCAATTAGTGAAATCACTTTCCCCACAGATCACATGTTGCAAAATTTCACTTTTTTTTCCTGCTTTTTTCCCTAGCAATTTATATGAAAGCAAAGGTGTGGTGTGTGTGACATCACATCTCCCTCTTTTCCACAGTACTTGTCTTTAGTAGAATTTAGTGGCCTTTTCCTATTAAATATAAACTTCCCTTTTCAGGCTGGCATGCTGCTTCTGTTGATTTAAACCTGACTCTGGAGCACATACAGATAAAACGCTGAAGGCCTCTTAAAATGCATGAAATAACTTTTTTCCTGTGGGGATTTTACTGTGGGGCTAGTGGGCTTACAACGCTCATTGTAGTCTCTTCTGAACTATGGCTTTAGTGTGAGCCCTCCTGACTAAGGATGCAAAGCGTGTCTTCCCTGGAAGACACAGCTTCCAAGAATGAAGTAGCTGTGCTTAGGGAAGTTTCAAGTGATCAACAGTTACGCCTTCAGTCTCTAATGAAAACAAAAAAATGCACTTCGCTACATCATTTCTGCTGCTTGCAATCTCTCCTTGCAATTCATGAGTTCTGTATAGGAGAGAAAGAGCTGTGAGACCCAGAAAAAGAGAAGGAACTCTGACCGAGAACGTCTTTGAGTTCAGCTTTCTGTATGAAATCTCACCAGCCATAATGACGTGATTAGATGACCCATTTGCAGTGTGGGCGAAAACAGATATCGTGGCTCCTTGCTAAAGACCAAAAGCTAGTGAAGGGTCAGACAGGAAAAGCACGGGTGGGCGGAAGTAACCAAGCAGATGAAACTGCTGGGACATGGAGAATTTGCTTTTTTGTTCCCTTTTGAGGGCTCTCTTTTGGCCAACTGGTCTCATGATAGCAAAAGTGCTGTTTCGGGGGACAGACTGTATAGAGATTATGTACCACTGATTTCACCATTTGTGGGGTGAGGCCATTTAGGGAAAAAGGGACGTTGCCAGTACAGTCCAAGCACCTAATGGGACCCTGGCAGTATTCCGTGAAGCAACAAGGCATTTCAAGTGCTGATGAGCTCACCGAACTTTCCTAGAACTGCCTATAAATACAACTACAATACAACTGCAATAAATACAGATGCTGATGCAACAGGCTTGAGTTTCTTTCTAGTTGTAATATGCATTATAGCAAAAAACATATTTACATATATGCTTGAATTTAAAATGAAAGTGAGATTATAAACTATACAGCTCTAGCAGGGACTCCAGTCAACACCTAGTGAATGATTACACTAGAAGTAGAAAGCATGTTGGTCCATCTCACTTGCAGGGAGGATAAATCCCTAACTACCTGAAGTGCTGTAGTGTTATATGGGACACACAGTGAGGGGAAGATGGATCAGCAGCCAGAGAGGTCAGGCTGGAATTGGGAAAATGATATATGAACGAGTAATTCATCTGCAAGCCTCCTGATGGTCCTGTTAGAAAATGCATTTGTGGAATACAAATGTACAGATTTTAAACCAGAAGCCAGCTAACTAAGCACAGGTGCTAGAAACCCTGCAACACACAGACATACTCCCCATCTGATTCTACAACGAACTCCTCTGGGTCATTTCATCCATCCTTCCTTCCTTCCTTCCTTCCGTCCTTCCTTCCTTCCTTCCTTCCGTCCTTCCTTCCTTCCTTCCTTCCGTCCTTCCTTCCTTCCTTCCTTCCGTCCTTCCTTCCTTCCTTCCTTCCGTCCTTCCTTCCTTCCTTCCTTCCGTCCTTCCTTCCTTCCTTCCTTCCGTCCTTCCTTCCTTCCTTCCTTCCGTCCTTCCTTCCTTCCTTCCTTCCGTCCTTCCTTCCTTCCTTCCTTCCGTCCTTCCTTCCTTCCTTCCTTCTCTCTTTCTCTCTTTCTTTCATTTGTTGTTGGTTTGTTTATTTAGAGAGAAATTACCAGCTGTTCTTGTTCTGATATTTGATTTCTCTATCAAAATGTGGTCAATTATGTCAAAAGGAAACTGAGTTGCATTAAGATCTATTAAGCTGAGTTCACTTCCACATCATTCCATCTAATCCCTCTAATTTTAGGCAGCTCTATTGAAGAAAAACTGGAGTGACATAGTGGCAAATCAGTTCTGATGAGGAGGATTTTTTTACTTTAAGCCAAAGTGATTTAAATCAGCAAGCCAGAAACCTGTGTTTAAATTATTGATTTTAATCTTGTCTTGCATTTGCAATTCGTTTTTACTCTTAAGAACTTCCAATTTTTGCTGGTGTGTAACCCTTTGACTGTGGTTATTACAGGGAAGTATAGCTCCTCACACTGTATCTGGGTTCTTTTTACTTTGCAGGACAACACGGTATATCCACACAAACTCACGTCACTTAGAACACAGTCAGGCTCTTATTTACAAAGCCGCTCGGATTTCTGCTTAGGATTTGTTTCAGACTGTTCTTGTTTGGAAATTGGAACTGGGTTAACACACGCACAGAGGACATCTTTGAAATACTGAGCTAGCCCCCTCAACTGGTCTGGGCACAAGGAGGAGAGATTTAGCAAAACATGTTATTAGCAAAATACTTGAAAGTGAGGGAAATCCTGCTTGGAATTAATGAATTAAAACACTTGCTTCCGATTATCCTGTCCTTCAAGGCTTTCAAAGAAGGCCCGTTTGTGCCCGTCTCCTGCCTTGTTGCTCTCCAGAGGTGAGATGAGGAATTTTCTGCTGAGAAAACAGTTTCTCAGCATTGACGTGAGGGAGCTGCTAAACACAACTGGAAGAAAAACACGCTCAGAAAGAAAATACTCTCTCTCTGCAAGCCCTGACCAGGCTGCTGCCCCTCTCCACTGCTGGATCACTCGCACATCTGCTTCGCGCCGGTTGCTCACATGGCAGCTGCTTCTCGCTTGGGTGTTTGGCTTGGCGGGTGAAGCATACACCCTAACTAGTCTTTCTCAAATTTCTTTAACATAAGGAATGCCAACATAGTACATTGCTAAGACTGATACGATGTTTTTTCTATTATTTTGAATGTAATTTTACACAGGACTGTTTTCAATGTCAGGCGTTTCAAATCAGGCGTTAGATTTAAATGCATTTTTAAGCCACATGTTAGAATAACGCTTGTTTGAATACTGTGCCAGACATTCGTGTCCGACAGAGACATGCTGCCAGTGGAGCTCTTTTGCTCACTGTGGAGTTCCAAACTTGCCGGCCACTTCACCAAGGGCAACAGAAATTAAAAACAAAATAAACCAGAATTGAATTAAAATAAATTTCCAAGAGGAAAACCCTGGAGAGTGAAACACGGCCTGCGCCCTGATGCCATGGCCATGGCCATGGCCGCGGCAGCGGCGCCTGCGTGCGGGGAGCCCCGGGCAGGCGCCGAGGGCGGCCGTGGGGCGGCGTTACGCACGCCCCACAAGGAAGCTGTGGGCGGCCGGCAGCCGCTTATGAGGGAGAGGGCCCCGCGCGCCGCAGGCCTTTCCCAGTGCCGCCTGAGGCTGCGGGTGCGCGGAGGCCGGTGCTCACCTCCAGGGCTGGCAGTGACCCCGGGCACCCTGCTGCGGGCAGGGAAGCAGGGAAAGCAGAGAGGGAGAGGGCAACGCGAGTTTTCACCCTTTCCCTCCCGCGGCACCGAGGTGGGAGCAGGCAGGAAGCAGCGGGCGACGGCGGCCGTGGGGCTCGTGCCCCACACTGTGGTTTCCCAAGGGCGCAGCGCTCTCCTGTGCCGCCCCAGGAGCCACACGAGCATGGCGTGCCGCCCCGAGGGCCCACTGGCACCGTCCGGACCGGCGCTGAAGACCTTGCTCTGGCTCGGGCTCCTTGCATGTCTCGTCATGAGCCTAGGTAAGGAGGAACACCACTGCCCGCCTGCGGGCTGGCGGCATCGTTCACTGGGCTGAAACTGGGCTAGGTTTGAGGCTGAGCAATGGTGGGGGAGGGCGATTTCTGGCGCGGGTGCATCAGTGCACGGGAGGGGGACGATGTCTGCGTGCCTCGGAGCTGCGCCCGTTGTGCCCTCCTAGTGCTAGCGGAGCCAGAGCTCGAGCAAGCCTGCAGGCTGTGGCAGAAGTGGCCAAAACACCCGTACTCCAGCTCCTGTCCTTGGAGACAGGCGCTCTCGCTTCCTTGGGGTGGCTGTGCTGGGTCCGGGAGCAAAGGGAGGCTGGGGCAAGAGGAGGGCGGGCGACCCAACCAGCCAGAAGGGGCTTGGGATGGGTTTCCTCAGCTGAGCGAAGCGTTCACCTCGACACCACGGAGAACTGGCTCTGGAGCTGAGGTTTGTTACAGCTGCGAAACAGGTTGTGCCTCTGGATGGTTCTAGCGTTCCTCTGGAGCAAAGCCTGAGTGACCCTAGGCTTTGATTAAAAATTGAGTTCTGCAAATCCTAGGAGCTCTTCATGCTGATGTTGTGAAGCCGGAGAATAGGCAATGCTCTCCGATGAGTTTTGTTTGGAGTTTTAGTCTCAGAGCCATAAAAAACAAACTGGAGCACTTAACAGGGATTGAATCACAGAGCTCACCTGCAAACAGAGCAGCCGCCCAAATCTCCGCTCCTGAGAGCTTGTTCCTTCTCTCCTCCCTCACCTCTGTGCGTGCAAAGCAGGTATCAGATGCACAGATAATTTTTGCACAGACTACATGTGTAAAATAATCTATCCATGCACAGAACTGTTTCTCAATTTTTTTAAAAGAGTGCAAGATATTATTAAAGTGTGTTATTTGTCTTTTTTGTTTTTTTTTTAGAAAAAAGCCTTCTGATTCTGGGAACAAAGATGGGCAATATTTGGGTATCCAGTCTGATGTCTGATGACATCCAGTACTATAAAAAGGAGCACATTATTTTTAGAAAATTTGGAGTTTGGACAGTTACTGTTCTTTTTTATATGGTTACCCATGCTTTCTCTGCTCATAACATTTGGGTCTGCTGCCCAAATCTATCAGAGGTAGAGCTCTCAGAGTTACGGGGTTCTTGCATGTTAGCTAGCCACTGGCCCAGAGTGAGCTCCTGGAGAGCCACAGCTGTCTGGCCTCCTGTCTTGCCCTAGAGAGGCAAGATAGAGAGGGCAGGTGGGGACTGCTAGGAGTGTGATGGCCACAAGGATTTGCGAATCGGCTGGCAGAGTCTGTTGAGTTGGGCAAGACAAGGCACATCATAGGCCAGAAAGTTGGGTGATCCTGTTGCGGAGAGGTCTGATTTCTCTAAATGAGGTTGATTACAAAATTCCACGGTTTAACGCTGCAAGAGGTAGAGTGGGGGAGTGAGGGGAAGAGGGGAACCTCTTTTAAAGAATAATATCAGCTTCTGGGGCTTCTTCCCCAGCCTACGAACCTATGGGATTCCTGGTGCCACAGCAGCCAGGTCACTTGACAGGCTACTAACAGCAGCAGGACGTTGTTCTTTCTTTCCCTCTCTGTACACACACTTTGATATCCTGCTCCCTTTCTCGTCAAAACCTAGCATTCTCACACGGTGACTTTTACATATGCATATGGTACATGTACATATGCATCCTCTACTGCGCACATGCTCCTTCCATAGAAGCTTTGCTGGGACTTGCAGATGATGCCTTCCCTAGGTTGCCCACAGAGACCACAAGACCTACTCCTGACCTCATCATGGCAAAATGGTGAAGCCCTGGAAGTCTGTTGTGGCCCTGCCAGTGACTTCCCATGCATTAAGCAAGTCCCCAAGGCTTCAATCCATTTATTTTCAGAACTGATCCCAGGCTCATGCCTACATCAAGGTACAGCTGAAGTGGGCACCCAAAGTCCGTGGCTACTCTTGCATCCTCCCTGGGTTCAGCCCAGGTGCCTGGTGCTTGCACACCCTGGTGCTGTAGCTCCCAAAGGCCAAACAACATGTGAGGATGACAAGAGGCTCTCTCTGCATACCCTGTGCAAGTTAAACCGTAACACAGGGATTGTCAGGCTGAATTTTGACACTGTAGCGAGTAAAGGTCATTAAAGGAGGTGGAGGGGGCACTAATTAAAAGGATGATTTGAAGACTAATGCTGTATAGGAAACTGTGTAAGCCCAAACTATGCAGCTATGGTTATTTCCCTTTAATTTTGCTGCCCTAGGTTTCAGGAGACCCACAGAGATGTTAGAGTAACTTAGAGCAGTGGCTCATACCAGTGCCTTTGCAGCTGTTACAGTAGGAAAGCATTGCTATAAGTCAGCCTGGATGATTTCCCCTGTCTTTTGTGAAAACGTGGAGTAGGCAATCGCTGCAGGAACCTAACGGTCCCCATTTAGTGTGGAGAGAGGATTCCTTTTAGGCCTTCTGCAGTCCCTGCATCCGACCAGAGACCATCCGGTTCTCTGTTTCTTCCCTGTCTTGAAATTTTTGGGAAGTTTTGAGGAAAATCCCTCTCACATTTCTGAGTTGTTAGAGGGTGAGGGGGGAAATATCCACTTCCCTCAGCACTGAAAAAGCATGTTTGCTCACAAGTAGCTCACTCCGGGAATCCCCTCTCACACAGTGCTGCCAATGAAGAGCCCAGGGCAGAGTAGCTTTCGGAAAGGGACAAAGCGGATCGAGGGTGAAAGAAGATTACTTGCTTCATAGTCACCCACTAGTGTCTAGTGATGAGATCAATTTGGAATCACAATTTGTGGCTAATTTCTGTGCCAGCTCGATCACAATTAATTTGTGGCTAATTTCTGTGCCAGCTCCAGCATGAGCAGACCGAATTGCAGAGATGGCAGAAATTTTTCCTGAGATATCAGGATTACCCACTTGATCAGCGGATGCAAATTGAGTTTCTGTCCTATTGCTGTTGCTGACTTCTTTTCTTTTCTTTTTTGTGTTTTTTGGATGAGTTTCTGCCTCCTCCCTTTTCTGATATGCAGAAAATAAATGTTTCAGTTAAAAAATCACAACAGTACCACTAAGAAGGAACAACTTATTCTGTATCTCCAGAGCGAAACCTGCTGGCCCAGCCTCTCCGGAGAAATAGAAACTCATGAAGAGAATATTGTGTTTCCTTACAGACTGTTTTATTTTTCCTGTCTTTTTTTTAAATGAAAGATTCCTTAAAAAAAAATATATACAAGCTAAATTCTTACACAATCGAAGTGTAGTTATACATATGCATAAATTGCAGTCTGTAATGTTACCCACCTAATGCTTCTTTCACCCCTGTTGTTTCCATTTTCCAGTTAGATCAGAATGAACCCAAATAGCTCTGGTAAGCTCACATTACTCTGAGGCCAATAACTTTTTTGCATTTCTTGGATCACTGACACATTTGTAACCTTTTTGCAATACCAGCATCAGACATTCTTGCATTCAACATGCAAACTTTTGGGCTGAATTTTACCCGCTGCGGTGGGCTATTAGCAGAAGTTGCTGCCTTGTACGCCCTCACACCTTTCCAGCTTGTTGCTGCCTCAGTTCTGAGTTATAAGGCTGACTTCATGGCATGATGAATCTGACACAAATGAAGGTTGCCATTGATGGGGGCTTAGTTTTCTGTTGGGTCAGGCCGCTGAATCAAGCCAGCCTGCAATCACTAGAGCCAAAGCACTAGGAAAAGGCAAAAGCAAAAGGAAAGCAAGTGCCATGTGGCAGGTGCCAGGAACATGCTCCCCTTTCCTTGTCTTTTACATCAGACTTTGCGTCTTTGCATATCATGAAATGGCATCCTGAAGGGCACAGCCACACAGCACAGCAGAGGTGCCCACAAGAGTTCATTGCCCCTGAGAGAGGCACTCCTACTCTTCTAGCCTCTGCATCCAGCTGCATGATCCTCCCCTTGTTCACACTGCGCGAAACACACACCTAGTCCTTGAATGAGGTAATTCAACTCCCAGCTTAGCAGATTCCATTTTTTTTTCCTTTATATCTGCAAAGCAAGGGTAGAACCAGCTTCTGGAGAGATGTGCAAGGAAAGCAGTGGGAACATAAAATGATGGAAGGGAAAAGGGAGACAGACCACCTCTTTTTGTGTGAAGAAGTCCATGAAGCTTGTCATCTACCTGCACCTTGAGACACTGCCAGGCTGGAGGATAATTTCCATATCCATGGAAATCCTCCTGACTTCTTAACATGTGTTTCCCACTCTGAGCACTGCATTCATACAGATTTGGTATTTTTCATGAGGTGGCAAGGCAAATGTGTAGTAGAATGCAGGCAAATCTGTTTGCCTGGCAAAAGGAGGTCATTTCCATTTTCAAATACATGAACTTTATGTTTAATTTTAGCTTTTCTATCCCCTCAGAGAGACATCACTATCAAGAGTTTCAGGAGCTCATTTGAGAATATGTAGATCTTTCCCTGCATAGAAATGTCACAACCTTGCTTCTGCTTTTTCACTGTTATGCTTTTAAAATATCATTGGTCCCAGGGGACTCCCTGAGTGAAAATAAAAGTGCTGACTGCTGGGTAGTGGTGGCATCTCTAGCTACACTGCAATCAAAATACAAGCACTTTTTGGTGAGTCCACACTGCTACTATAACATGTGAGAAGTTAAAGAAGACTATTGAGACAAGTTCCTTTCTGCACTACTGCCCTCTGCGTAGCAGGTATCCTCTGGTGTGGTTTTAAATACATGACAAGGATTTCATCCCTGCTCTCAGGAAAGTGCTTCAATCTAAATAGATCTCACTGTTAGACACCATTTCCTATCAGCTGAGAGTGTGCCTTCCTCGCGCTAGCCTGACCGGCGATGCTCCCAGCTATTATATCTGCAGTGCCACAAGCGCTTCGTGCCCAAGTCTCTTTCATTTCGCTTCATCTCTGGTCTCGGTAGCTTTCAGATACCTCTGGACTGCTTTGTTCCCCTTTTGCTATTCATCCTTTAGCTCATTACCATTTGCCACGCTGCAGTTTTATATAGC